CTAAAAATATGTGTCGGTGCATGTTGAGAAAAAGATCATAAAAAATATATATATGTATGAAGCGTTAAAAAGTTTATTAAGTAAAATGAGTAATTTAGTTGGAACACTCAGTAACTTTATCAGAAATTGAATTTGAAAGTCATTTTAAAGATTTCTGTGGAAGCTCTCACACGGAGTGTAAATTTGCCAGTCATGAAGTACTGGGATGGTATAGGGAGAAGGAAAACTTTACCAAAAGGTATGAAATATAAAATGATAATTTTTTCTTCAATTTACAGAACTTAGCACGATCGTATCTTTGTTTTTAAATTTGAAAAAAGAAAGTTTAAAGAAAAATGACATAACAAAAATACTAACTAACTAGAAAAGATGATTTTTGAAGTTCAACTTTCCGATGAACAGCAGTGTTAATTGATTGTGTCTACCTGACTCAGTAGTGGTGTTTAAGTATTTCTGATTGACCACAGACACTAGAGATTGACCACCATTCAAGTGTTTTGATATCCGTATCATCAACATATTTGTTTTCCATTGTTGGTATGCAACCGTATGGTAATTATTGATAAACCATAAAATGATAGGATGGTCGACTCCTAATTCAAGCTGGCAGATGGTATTGAGGAAATTATTTCTCATCCTTAACTTTCGGTTAAAAACAACTTTATTATGATAATGAGATATTAAAAGGCAAATAAAAAATTCTTATTAAAAAGAAGATATATATGTAAACTTGTATTAATTATAAAGGTAGATATATACAGAAGAATTGAACTTTGATTTTATAAATAGCTAGGTGTTAAGAATATCAATAAAATTAACTTGTGACGTAAGAAAAAGGTTAACAAATTATCAAAAAGATAAAATCCTGACATAATGATTAACATAAACACAATCAAAATTTAATTGAAACGGAAATGTGAAGAAATGTTTGTTTTCCATGTTTTATTCCATCTGTTACAAGCATGTCAATGATTAATGAAAAGCTAATTGTACGCCAATCTGTGACACGAGGTTCCCCACCATATATGGTGCAAACTGATGTTATCCATTACCAATACAAAGCCAGGGTTGCTATAGATTTTTTCTTCATTTCTACATCAACGTTAAATGTCTTTATTATCGCCATTTGTTCTTTTTCAATTTTCCTCTTTAATGCGATGGGAAGAGTTGATATGGAATTGACTTATCATTTAGTTTTCTATTTGTTTTGTGTTTATAAAGAAGTTTTTTTATCTCCGAGCTAAGCTGTTTGCTCAAATTGAATAGTACGTCTTTTGTTATAACAATAGGTAAAACATGCCTTTCATCATTGATGAATTACTTTCAAAAATCTGTTGCCAATACCTGGTGATATTTCTTGTGTTCACCCAATTTGGTGCTAAATCTATCGTTTCATGTCTAAAGTCGGCAGCATTGTGTAAGTCCATGTAAACAGTAATTACCTGGGCGTATGCTGATAACCAATTGATTTGTCATTTAGCGTAAAAATGTCATTTTCTTCTCGGAAAATATTAATGATCAGCCCTGAAATAAGGCTTTTAGGTGTAATGACTTAAATGTAATGTAGTGCATCTTAGTACTAAATATCTGCTGTATTGAGTTTTCTATACTGAATATCTGCTGTATTGAGTTTTCTATACTGAATATCTGCTGTATGTTTTAGGTTTGCTTTACTGAAAACATGCTTTATAGAGTGTCCTATACTGAATATATGCTGTAATGAGTTTCTATACTGAATACCTGCTGTATTGAGTTTCCTATACTGATAATAAGCTGTATTAGGTTTTCTATACTGAATACCTGCTGTATTGAGCTTCCTATACTGATAATAAGCTGTATTAGGTTTTCTTTACTGAATACCTGCTGTATTGAGCTTCCAATACTGATAAGCTGTATTAGGTTTTCTATACTGAATACATGCTGTATTGAGTTTCCTATACTGAATATATGCTGTATTGAGTTTTCTATATTGAATACCTGCTGTATTGAGCTTCCAATACTGAATATATGCAGTATTGATTTTTCTATACTGACTATATGCTGTATTAGGGGTTTTTATACTGACCTGCTGTGGCTGTGAGATGAGGCACAGAATTACAAGTACAGCTGCTGATTATAATGTCTCTAACTTTTTACTTATTAATGACCACTTTGAAAATAAATAATGCAACAAATTTTAATGTAAGTAACTTTTAGATATGTTTTTGCAACAAAATATGGTACTGAAATAATTATAGCTGATTAAAATAACAATGGTAGTTTTACAAAATAAAAAACACATATTTTGTAGAATGAGAAAATTTTATAATGATTTTTAGATGTTACATTTAAAAAAACACCCCCCCCCCCCCCCCTGAAAGGGTTCAGTGATTTAAAAACATAGTAATTCAACTTCACTATGGAGGTGTAATAAATAGTTAATTAACCCTTGAGATTAAGTTGTAGAATTGGCCGGAATCAGAGCAGATATCACATTGACATGGTTATCAACGCTTCATTGAAAGAAACAGGGGGATGAAACAAATCAAGTAGAAAAATTGAAATAAAAACATCATTTTTATCATAAATATTATTGGTACATCCTATTGGCTTTTCCCCCAGCATGGTGTGAGGGAGTTATCAGCCCTCCTCATCACCACGGCATTTGTGCTTCCTGTTCACCCACTGAAGGCCGCCTGCGAGGTTTTGTCAGCCCGCAATCTTGCGGAGCAGGCAAGCCGTGTGCTAGCCCCACGAAGGCTCCACACAGACAGTGTAGGATATGTAGTAATCTTACGGAGCCATGCGTATCAGCTGCTAAGTCACCAGTCTTAGTCTCTTCACCTCTTAACTGTAACCAGCGACAATTTATGAAAACTGAATGTGAAATGTATACATTTGTAAAATATCTAACATTCACTTGGTTTTTTTTCTTCAGTGCTACCATGTACTGTTTAAAAATGCAAGTAACAGGATTAGAGATTTCATCAAGTTATATTTCCTTAAACATTTTTTTTTTTGGTAGCTATTTTGAAATGTATACATCATTCTGCATTTGAATTTAAAAGTTTTATAAGGTAGTTAAAGATGTTAAATATACAACCATCTGATATTGGATGTTTATAATAGGACTATCAGATTATTTTCTTTAGAACTTACGAGAGCATGTCCGTCAGATTGTGAAACTGCATACAGTAACAGTGAGTGTACTTTAAGCCTAGGCTCTTGTGGGTCTTGGTGAATAGTTTTTAATGAATATTTTAAATTTTTTTTGTGATTTTCCTTGAAATGTGTCTAAAACATTTGACAAACTTCTGCTTATGAACTTGCTAATGAGATGAGATGAATAATAGTGCAATATTTTTTTATTTAATTTATTCAACTTTTCTTGTTTTCAACATTTTATACTTGAGAATCTCGGCGCCAGATTTTGGTGATAAGGATATTTCTCATTCAGTAGGTAATAACTACAGGACTTTGTTGTTTTAGATTAAATTGAACCAATATGTATCAGAAATCATCATTTTGATTTGAAAGAAATGTGTAAATGAATAAAGAAAAATTGTCGATATTTGCTGTTCAAATTTGACAAATAAATCACACAGTAGTTTTTGTTTAGAAACAAAACAGATCATGTGGTTCGACCTTGAAGTGTCATTGCCCTAGGTAACCGGAGTGTTTGTGGCCATTGAGGATTATTTGCCCTTATACTTATCCCCGTAACAACTTGAACAGAAGTCCGCAGGATTCCCAGGGAAACCGGGCGTTCTTTGGACCTCTCCCTAGGAGGTGCAAAAGATAGTGAATGAAAAATTGTGCTTTTGCTGATAAATGCCAAGTACTGACCCCCTTGACTGGAGCTATTTTTCTCCTTTCTGATTTGATATTGTCAGGTGAAGATGCTGTGGAAAGTCCAAAGGATACCACAACCGGGGAAGGTGGCGTTGTCCACAGCGATAAGATAAAGTCGTACCCGTACTTGAATGTTTCGATGTTGCAAGCCTATATTTGCTTGTTTGTTTGAAAGTGTTTGCTTATGAAGATAGCCGGCCACTTTTCTGCTCGGCAGGAATTGTAGGAGATAGGCACCATGTGCATCAAACAGAAAAATCCCACTCTTTTCATCTTCTCCTCTCCCACTTCAAAGTTCTAGCAGATCAGCTAGACTTATCTTTATTGTATAGCTAGCTGTACGTCCTGGAGAATGGCTCTTACCTCGTCACAGATCTCTCCGAGTGATAGTACTTTTTTCTTTGAAAGTTTGGGGTCTTGTTTTCTTATTCTCATTCCTCATGAGCGTAAAGCTTCATGTGGGATTATTCCAAGGATTTTCAAATTTGTACAAATTTATCCATTCATTTAAAAACCTATTAGTATGGCCTGAAAGATTTGCTACTGAGACATATTTTTCATTCATAATGTATAACCCAGATAGAGATGCACACAAAAGATGGACAGATATATCTCAATCTTGTTCAAATCACGGAAATGTTTTATTAGCAGAAATGGAAACAAGCCTATCAAATAGTCATAAAAGCCGGTCTAAGGATGAACGATACACTTAAAACATGTTTTAAATTTCAAGGAAAATCATTGACTATAATGTTCTATCTGACCCGCAACTTTCTCACATCCAACTTTCAGAACTGCTTTTCTTATTCTATTAATAAATATATTTCTATATATCGATGTTGCTCCGTACGGATGTGAAGTAATTTTGTCATCCCGTTGACAAAAATCTGTTGGTTCTATCGTAGAAATTTTTAGAATTAGTTTATAACCCTTTTGGATGACGTAAGGATGTAAGTAAAGCTGAGAAAATCTACCTATTTTATGAAAGTGTTTCTTATATCCTTCTGCAATCCCGTTACATATGAGAAAGCGATAACAAACATTCGCAGGTATGTCGCCACTTAAAATTAATATCTACATAAAATGTAATTGTTTTTAAGCAGCTGATGAAGAAATTGATATTTCCTTGATTATAGAATATTTTATTTAATTGCATTTTTACGTTTCAGACATGGAGGAAGGATGGGATGCAGGCAACCTGAAGGAGGATGAGTTTGAGGAATTCTGCGTCTACATTGTCCACGACCGTGCATGTGAACGCGTGTGCCAGAATCGAGCTCAAGCCTCCCTCCCTCGCAACCTCACACTCAAACCGTCACAGAGCCAATCAAATAATGTAAGCATATTTTGATTCTTTTGTGTTCATTCTGTTTTATTCTGTCTATTCTGACCATCTGATAAAATCTATTAAATAACCGTCTGCTATTCGGTGACCCCTGGTTGAAAGAAAATACAACAAAGTCATCATTGATTTTATTTTCTGCTATTTGCAAGAATGCATCTCTTTTGTAAAATTTCCTAAAATATCTATAAAATTACCTCCCTTGGAAGTTAAAAAGATGGTCAGTTTAGATAAGGAGATAAAACTTCATACAGTGCTAGAAAATTGTAATCTGTGTGATATTTTCTATTTCTAATTTTTCTCCAATTTATCATTACTTGGAATTTCTGGCTAGTGATTGTCTTAAGCCATTTGTTTCGATCTTATACCAACACTATTCTTGGTCCTCCATTTTATTTTGCCTTGTTGTAACCTCTGAACTTTTGCAGAGCCAACTAGTCATACCTTCCATTAGATACTGAAGATTATAACTACTGTGTTATTTGTTAGATTGGGGAGAAAATAAAGCTGAAGTGTGCTTTGAAAGCTTATTTGCAGACTTACGGAAAGATTCTTTCTACCAATTGATGTTTAATTTGGTTTAGATATTGTCTTTACAGAATAAGAAATAATTTCAATTTTCTTGGTTTCTATTCACGTTTGTTTTGAATGACGGTATCAACTTCGCAGGAAGTAGAATTATATTCACTTACGTTATAAGCTGACACAAATGAGAATTTTTTAGATAAAAACCATTTAAAAAGGCATTTTTTTATCCCATTAATTCCCGGACATTATTGTATATGATCCTGTCAAAAAACCAAGATGACAGAACCAGATAAGGATTATACGTTACGATTCTGTTAGTATGTCTGTAACTGCACACCATGGTGAGTGCTAATGATGCCTCAGGTCTTTTTTACGAAAATCTTCAAGTGCCAATTTTGATTTTACCTTCGTTTCTTTGTATGGAATGATTTACAGGCACAAGACCAGAGTGTCAAAGTGATCTATCTCCTATTGAAATGTTTTAAATGTGATCGGATGAAAAGTGCATTTTATATACCCCTAACACAAATTGATTGGGTCTGCTCCATTACCAATTTCTGACAGACGCTTATGTAGTATTAATCAGTGTTAATGAAAGATATTCACATTTTACAACTCAGATTTATTTTTTTTTATCTCTTAATTGATTTTTTTTTTCTTTTCTGCAATTTTCGAGCAATAAGGATTGCATTACTCATTATTTGTAATTAGAAAAGTTTCTTTTTTCCTCACATAGAACTTGATATTACATTTGAAGTTGTAAAGTTTGAAGCACTCGACACTTATGTGTCTCTTAAATCTGACAACACGCTTTTTAATGTTCACGTTGACAAACTCTGCAGGGAAACAATCCATGTAATACGGGGAAACATTCCATGTAACATTTCCATCTGGTAAAACTTTGAAATCTTCTGGACAGTAACGATATATGTAAAACTTATACTTTCAAGTACTTTTGTGTTTGTTTTTCAAAGATTTTACTTTCACTTTTGGTTTGATTCAAAATAAGGTGATTGTGTCCTTGGTGCCCATTTTAATACATTTTAAGTTCCTTATTAAAAAGTGTTCTCTTTATATAGTTTTCAAAACAGGTACAAGGACATAGGCGTAATTTCGCTCCGTTTAGCCTTTCAATACCTCCTCTCCTTTCCCTTTAAAGAGATCGGGACATTTTTCAAAAGAAATCATTATTTGGTTAATTTTACGCAACACCACACCACAAGTGACTTAAGCTATCTGTATAATTATCACAGTACTAAACTCACTCATCTCATAAATGTATACATTTTATAAAAAGGAGAAATTATGTGTTTTTCATGCTTGTTTTCTTTTTATTATTGTATGAATTCAAGATAAATACCTATAATGATGTCTAACAATTTAACCAATTTGGGGCTACTTTCATTTTAAGAGTAGCAGAGTGTTGAGTTCACAAAGCCGGGGTCATTCTATTTGTCATGGTCAAGTCCCCTGCAGTGGTAATTTAGGGGAAGAGACAGAATATATCTGTCTTACTTTCATTGTCGTTCAGCCCTTGAAAACACTGACAGGTATCAGTTGACATTTAATTCAGTTTTATTGGTGAAGAAAAGTCATCTTAACGTGAAAATGAACTTGTTGAAATTTTGCTTTTTTGTGAAGAGCTGAATGTACAAGCAGGTTTGGTGAATTTGAACATGAACTTAAACGACTCAAGGTGGATTTTGATGGGTGGGGTCACAATGATTGAAACCAAAATCTTGTGAGAAACAGAGGTAGGAGCAGGTGCTTGGTCTTCCTGGTGACCCCAGTCAGGACGCACTGAATACCAGCAAATCATAGAAAAATACCCTTAGAACTTCTGTTTTGATAGAAAACATGCCTGATACAAGTTTCCTCTAGAATCACAAGATTAAAGTTGTAAGGGGAGATACACATTCACCATTTTGATAGAAGTCCTTGCCAAAGGTTCTATTCACAAAACACACTTTCAAAGGTATATTTTGCATTTTAGCAAATGGAAAATGAAAACTGTACATTCAGTACAGGTATAGAGGTGTTTGTACCTACAGTACAGGTATACAGGTGTGTGTACCTACAGTACAGGTATACAGGTGTTTGTACCTACAGTACAGGTGTACAGGTGTTTGTACCTACAATACAGGTATAGAGGTGTTTGTACCTACAGTACAGGTGTACAGGTGTTTGTACCTACAGTACAGGTATACAGGTGTTTGTACCTACAGTACAGGTATACAGGTGTTTGTACCTACAGTACAGTAGTACAGGTGTTTGTACCTACAGTACATGTGTTTCTACCTATAGTACATGTGTTTCTACATACATTACAGGTGTACAGGTGTTTGTACCTACAGTACAGGTATACAGGTATTTGTACCTACAGTACAGGTATACAGGTGTTTACCTACATTACAGGTATACAGGTGTTTGTACCTACAGTACAGGTATACAGGTGTTTGTACCTACAGTACAGGTATACAGGTATTTGTACCTACAGTACAGGTGTACAGGTGTTTGTACCTACAGTACATGTGTTTCTACATACATTACTGGTGTACAGGTGTTTCTACCTACAGTACAGGTATACAGGTATTTGTACTTACAGTACAGGTATACAGGTATTTGTACCTACAGTACAGGTATACAGGTGTTTACCTACAGTACAGGTATATGTTCATGGAATTTTAAGGTATACAGAACGTTTAGTTTGATTTTAAAGTATCAAGAAGTGTTTAGGTAACCTTATTAAATCATTCATTGAGCAAGGAGACAATGTTTATTTCTATTTGAAACAGGTTGTTTATAACAATCAAACATGTACATACTAAGTAAAAACAGGTTTACCATCCACAATTTTGCTCAATGGAATAAAGCTTGAAAATGCTGCATATTGTGTTTTTATGGTTAAATGATTTGATAAAATTTAGATGTAATTGGTTTTGAAAGGTGTTGATAAGTCTCTGATGCCCTTTCATATATATATACTTGATAGTTTACACAAGTCATATATTAATATATTTTTAAAGCTGGAAACTGTCTCAAGTAAGAATAAACATCAAATGACAAATAAGTAGATTTATTGGGTTTTCATGTCTGATCTTGAAATTTCACTCAACTTTTTAACATGTATTTATGTATGTAATCATGAAAACCATCGAGTTTATACGCAAACTTAATCGGCATGAAAACCTCAAAAAAAAATACTGCCAGCGGAATTTTCATTAAACTGGAGCAATAAAATAAATTTGTTATCGTAAATATTTTGTTAATGGAAATAAAACCCACAGAGCTACTTTAACCTTAAACACAGGTTTCACTTGATTGTCAATATGCAAATTAGGAACCATCGCGAAGGTAACAATGTGTTTGCGTCCGACAATGGCGTTTAGTTATCTTATTCCAGAGGACTTGAGTCTTTTACCATTGTGACAGACAATACAGTTTGTAATGAAATTCTCCATACAAAGAGTAAATAAACACCTGAGAGTTAAAATTACAAATGAAATACAGTTATACACGTCCAAACCTTTCGCCAAGCTTATTCTTTTGTGCTAGATCTAGAGTTCCTTGGAACTTGAGAATTCTTACAGTTTAGTTGTAACAGTTTTGTTTAAACCTTGCTGGAATGGACTTGTACATCATGATGACGGTAATAAAAGTAACAATTTAAATATTTCTGTCTCTGGTCGTAACACACACCTTTTGTTATGACGTAGAAAAAAATGCAAAATAACTCCTCCATAAACAGAGTGTATGTTCCAGTAAATTTGATACAGTCCCTAGTGTCAAACTTTGTAACCAAGGTAATCAATTGATTGACAGTTGCTCACTGGGGGAGACATCAGTAATTGGCTTCCAACTGGGGGAAAATTTGTTGCGTTAGCCTCCGGATTCAAGTAAAAACATATCCAATGCTACATACTGTTCATCATTTTCTTTAAATTAACAATTTCATGATTTTTTTCATTCAGCTGTGAATTTTCTATATTGTTGCCTTTTTACTAATTTCATTCAATGAAATTTCTTTCATTGCTGTATATGAAATTCTCATTTGAAGAATTACCCATATATTTAGTTATACACCCATGCAGTTCACATCAAGGAGGGCAGACCAATTTATTATTTTTGTAATATGATAATATTTTATTTGTACCAACATGCTTGCAACCCCTGTTCCGTCTATAAGTTTCTCCGGTTATTATTTCAGCGATAAACACCAGATTGTCGTGAGATTTGTATATGATGTACCTGGCTTATTAGTGATTGGTTGTGATAAGCGTGAAGTTTAAACTTTAATCTTATCTCAATTCTAATCATTTTCTCATCCTGTTCATCATTCATACTTTCTTTATCAAGCTGTTTTTCTACCAGTAAATTGATACTACCAAGCCTGCCTGTACAGGAGTAAATGAGATCATTTCTCACTCGTCCATTTACATTCACACTTATTGATAAGAGGTAAGACT